CCTAAACTTTAATAAACATTTTTATAGACAATACCAAACTCTGAAATGGCTGCAAAATGATTTTCAAAATGTTGATTTTCCACTCCATTTTCTGCGCAATTTTGCTTGTGTCAAAAATTGCAGCTTTTCATTTGCGTTTGCTGCAGCAGCAGAGATTTTCTGGGCTCGGGGCTAGGCTTTGGCTGGGTTGAACAACATTCGAGTGCAAGCTGAAGCCAGCTATGTCGTAACCCTGTTAGATGAGAGAGAGAGAGAGAGAGAGAGAGAGAGAGGGATAGATCTAGTGCAAAGTATATGCTATAGTTTGTAGCTGTCTTTAGCACACATCAAAAGCATTATTAACAGGACTACAAGCACAGAAACAACATACACACACACACACACACACAAACACACAGAGTCAGGCGAACGGGGCATAGGATAACAGAAAAGATGCCTGCGAGCAGGCTCAGTAAATCCAAAACATGTGTCCTTACTGGATGGCTTGGCTTCTGTATGTATGTGTGCGTGTGTTTATGTGTATTTATGAGCCATGGCATACACACACACATTGGCAGCCACATCAACTGCTTTTGGCGTGCATTAAGTGGCCTTAGCCAGCCCACAAGGACATGCTTTTTGTGGTCTTTCAAATATTTAGGTATATATATAAAGAATATATATATAAAGAATATAGCATATGTGTATGTACACATGAGTATGTATGTATTTGCAGCCCATAGTCTATTTTACATTTAAGGTGTCTGCATGGCGCATAAAATTTATATTAGTCTGGCTGCTTCGCTCAGCAAATAAAATAATATTAAAAGCAATTGCTGCCAGTCTGATGCAGAAAATTCTCAAATTTAGTTTCGCGTTTTTCTCTTGCTGGTTTTTATATACATATATATATGTTTTTTTTTCTTCTTCTTCTCGCTTCTATTTGAGTGGCTAAGCAGCTTATAAGAGCAGACCTCATTTAATTGAGTATATTAGCTGAGCGAAAGCAGCTTTAACATAAATGAAAATTACTCAAGAATAAGCTATTAGACATTATTAAATGAATGCGCATATGCACGAGAGCAGTTGAAAATGCTGAAAATGCTTTAACTGAAAATGGTAAAGCTACATATGTGGGAACTTATTTCAAAGAAATATTATAAAAAAGGTCAAAATTTGTATGTGTGTGAAAATTTTAATACAAATATTTATGTTTAAGAGAATGAAAGAAGTAATAATATTGATGAAATTATTACTATTAACATAAGACTATAAGTTATTTATTTAATATAAATATTCTTTGGCAGGATTCGGTAATATATTTTTATTTTTAAATTAATTTTGCAGTTATTAAGTATATATAATTATTATTTATATATATATTTTTTTAATATAGTACTGTAAATATTCACAGCAAAAAAAATGCATTAAAAAAAATTGCATTTTATTTAAAATAACGAAAATAAAATAGATTAAAAAAATACTCAATAATATTGAGTAAAATGTTTTGTATAAATATTATTTTGTAATATTTTTTTGCAGTTCTTAAAAATTTTACTAATTATGAGAAAAATTCTATTTTTATTTTATTTACTTTTTTATGTATTTATTTATTTCATTTTATTCATTTATATATATATACATATATATATATTTTTTTTTTCGTTTTTTAATGTTTTCTTTTAAAGATATACTGCTTCTATATACTCAATTAATCGCTATAGAAATTCCGAATTGATCAATTATACTTTTTCAATAATTAGTTGCTCTTGGTATAGACACTCTCCCTTGTAACAAGGGAGAAAAAGTGCAGCCCCTCTAATTATTTCCAAAGAAACAGAAATTGGGTTAACGAAGTGGCGTCTAGCTACTGGAGCAGACATGCTTAGAATTGGTAACAGATGTCACGGAATGTGGGTTAAATAGAACCCAAAGAGAAACACATACTCAGACCTGTGCATACGCATATTTGCACAGCTAAAAAGTTGGCAACGACTTATGCGAATCAATTCAAATTCAATGCGATTCCTCGCAATTAGCGCAAGGTCTGAGAAATGCCTCGTGCAATTTCCCTCTGCGCAGACAACACTTGGACGACTCGATAACCAAGTCAACTAGTTGCAACTTGAGCCGTTGCTCGTTAGTTGTGCCTCGGCACTTTTGGCCTGATCCGCCGCCGCCTGCTTGTCGAGTGTCGCCTGACACATTCTCAACGCTCGCTTTGTCGGCGACTTTACAAAGATTGCAACGTCGACAAGTTTTGTGGCAGGTGACGAGGCAGGGGCAGGGCGGCAGGACTGCAGGAGCTGTGGCTGTAGCGGTAGCTGGAGGTGCATTCAAATTAAATAGCATTTTGATGAATATTGATTGATTGCTTGCTTGTTGGCAGGCTGGCTGGCTGGATGGCAGGCTGGCTGGCTGGATGGCTGGATGGCTGGCTGGCTGGCTGGCTGACTGACTTGCGCCGCCTTGTGGCAAATTAAAAGCAATTGGCGCTATGGCAAATCGAAAAACTTTTACCCCCAAAAACTTTGGCCTTGTAACTGAGATAGTCGAACTGCAGTTGCAATTTAATTTGCCAATGCACACACATACATGTATCTATGTATATGCATATATATGTAGACAAGAGAGTTATCCAAAAAATTTGTTAATCAACAGTTGTTTGTTTGAAGCGCGGCAGAAACTTCGAATTCGGCAAAGCGAATATTCAATGCGGTTACGAAATGAACTTTCATTCAGACTGATTTAAGTTGCTAAATTTTTGGATTGATTTAAAGCATTAAGTGACGTTGGAAACAAGTTCGATATTAGCTATAAATATATATTAATATTTATAAACTATTAGTTTATATATTATGCAAAAAGATTATGTTGTGGTATGATAACAAAACAATTGCTGAATATATATACATATATTGAATATTAAATATATATTTCATAGTTAAGAAATGTTTAAAAATCTCTGCTGATAAGCAATTGCAATAAACAACTAAAAATACAGTAATAAATAAAAGTTAATTTATATTTAAAAAACTTTTCAAAGATCTCTTTGCTTATACAATTATCTAAGTAATAGAAATAGAGATAAAGTTATATATTCTTATAAAGCGAACCGCTGTAATTTATATAATAATTCAGCATTAAGTAGCGAGCAAGTTCGCTCGAGGACATTACGCAACGGAGTGCTGCGGATTGTGTTGGTGTTGGTGTTGGTGTTCGTTACACTGCGAGTTGCTGCAACCGGAAATGAGTAAACAAGCGTCAAATAGTGAAAACACAACAACGACAACTCCAACTGCAGCTACAACAGGGCGCCAGACCGAGCACGACGACAGTGTCCTTACGAAAAATATAAATAAATGAAACATTAAACAAAACTACGACGACGGTGGCGATGGCGATGGCGATGGCGAGGGCGAGGGTGAGGGCGACGACAACAATGGACAAAGGCCCTTGTGGACTGCTGCAACAGTGAAGTATCGTGGAGTGTGGCGCGTGCATAAGGACTTGAATGCGGACGGCAGCGCAAAGATGGCGAAAAATGAGCGAAGACAACAACCGGATATCCGGCAACTTTATAAGCAGCCAGCAGGCAGCGCCACAAAGGACAATCAGACACCAGCACAAGCAATGCGAACAGCGAACAGCGAACTGCAACCACCGCCACCATCGCCACCATCGCAGCCATCGCAGCCATCGCCACCGACAATGTAGTTTATTTTAACTTTTGATTTCCGCCTTTTTTGGTATGCCGAGTACTTGCTGCAGCCAGCAGCTGCGCACCGCTGACCTGGCAGCCTGGTCAGCTGCAAGCACACTCATTCAGCACAGCGTTCAAGACGCCAGCAGACGAGCGCCGGCATTAAAAATGAATTAAACTTGCGTTACTTCTCAACCTGATATCTCTCAGTTCCTCCGCTCATGCAACGGACTATATAATATGCAACATGGGGCGCTGCAAGCGAGCAGCACGCAATTCAATTTTCACAATGTCTCCGAATGTCAAAGGCAAAATGTAATATATCAAAAAAAACTTTATTATTAAATTAAATTAAATTAAATACTAGTATTAAGTTAAAAGAAATACCTCTATAAAGATTGAAGATGAATTTAAAACATTTATTATTTAATTAATGTATGATTAAATTAAATCAAATATAAGTATTAAAATATGAAAAAATTATGTACATTAATTAAATAATGTTATTATTTCAAATGTCAATGTATTGGAGACTTTATTACCTAATGCAATTAACTACTATTATCGAATTAAAGAAATCCCATATTAAATATTAGTATTAAATGAAAATTAATTACACATAAAATAATGTTCCTTATATTAACTGCATTATTTTATAGTTAAAATAAATTGAATATTATTAATAAAAAATGGCTTTACTGTTTAATTAAGTTTAGCATGTATTCGAGTATATTATTAAATATTATTAAATGAAATGATATAAAATAAGTCCCTCATTAAATATAATAAACTAAATGATAAGAAAAAAAAAAACTACATTATTTTGTCTAAACATACTATTAAAATTAAAAATCATTCAATCAAAGCAGGCTTTCATCTCATCTACAGTCAAAGTAGGCTTTGACCTCATCAACCCAAATTCTATTTCATATGCCCAGCCCCAACTCCAGATTTTATTCAGTACACATTTTGGACCTACACAGACAACACCACAAAAAACAAAAAACAAAAATTTTAAAACATTTGGAAAGTCAACAAAAAAAGTGAAATAAAAAAAATTGAAAAAAAAAAATATAAATACATACACACCAACCAAAACAAAACATTTGACAGATCAACAAAAAAAAAAACAAAACAAAAAAAAATTATATTTCTCGTTTATGTGTTCTTCAAACTCAAATATACATACTGCTCACTCTACTCGACTTTAAGCGCAAAGTGTAACTTTTTATAATTTTATAAAAAAATAATTTAAAAAACGAAAAAAAAAAGAAAAATATAAAAAAAAACACGTTGCTAAATAAAAAAAAATTGTAAAACAAATTAAAAACTAAAAAAAAATATATATATATATGTATGTACCATATATATATGTACTATATACATAAATATAAGACAAGTAACAGACCTTCAATAAGTACCAACACAATATTTTGATGAATGATATCTCCGATTTTGGTTTCCGTGTGCTAATACAATGATATCGGCAGAGAATTTATACCCGGCTTGACATACACACAACTGGATATTACTCGGACTGTAAGTGTAAGATTTATTCTAAAAGTAAACCCATATATATTTGAAATATCTAATGTGCTCCCTCTTTCCTTTTTCAGTGACTAATATATACACGTACAAGTTCAGAAACGCAAACATGGATTTTGATTAGGACGATGGCGAGTTCGTTGCTTATCTTTAATCTACCATCTCACATTTATGCATGAGTTCTTGGCTATTATACGAACGCCTGGGAATCATCTCGATCTATCTTTATTCCAAGGCTTCAATGATTCAATAATGCTACACTGTCATCTGTTTCACTTGTTTACGCTCAGTGGCTTCTTTCGAAAACTGAACTGGAATAGTTTTCTGGTATAAAATTTATTGTTTGTTCGGATGGTGGAGTTGTAAATTCTGGTATCAATTATATAATAAATGACCTTTGGCTCTAAAAAATGCGTTTGAATTTTATTTTATTTGATTTAAGTCCTTAAGAGAAAGATTATTGACATTTAGCTTACAAATTAACTATTATTAAATTAGAAATTCAGTTTGTGCATGTTTTGTGGGGCATTTTATATATATGTAATGCATGTAATATGCAAGCTTATAATTTTTTTCGGTAGCTAATAACATTTGACAATCGATAAAAATCAATAATTATACTTATATTTCTTGAATTCGTTTTTTAGGGATATGAAATGATTATTTAACTTATTTTAAATAAAAGACTATTATTTTGAGAAATTGTTTAAAGAAATACACTTTAAAAGTTGTTCAACAAATAAAATAAAAATTTCCCTTAGGAAAAGAAATCTACCAGACCAGAAAAAACGCAAAATAAGTACAACATCCAATCAAGCAGCATATGAAACCTATAGTCATATTTATTACTGTAAATTTCAACTACATATCAATTTACCCATGAATTTTGAAATATATATATATAGCACTACTAGCTGAGGCCGACTTCATTCACAATCCGTACACGGACGTAAACAATACTCAATACAACATAAAAAAAAATGCTTCCATCATATAATTCGTATGTTAGTAGCCAATCGGTTCAAAATAGTAGGGAATGTCTAAATAACCATGGCAGTGAATCTGTAAGCTCAATATACCCGGTGGAGCAATATATGTTACGGTAAATAAATCAAATAAAATAATCCAACATATCATATCTCAATGAATTCTTCATCAAATATTTAGCACTCAGCTGCTGCTACTAGACTACAAACAGTTCAAGGCCGCACGCACCATACAAAGACATGTTCGTGGCTTTATCGTTCGTCAGCGAATGCAGAGACAGCTGAAAGCAGCCATAGTTATTCAGAGAGCTTGGCGTCGATGTGCGGCGAAGCGACATCTGATTATCTTCGCACAGGAGCGCACTCAAGAGTCAATACAGATCATGTACCACGATTCGTGTGTGAAGATACAGTGCTACTTTCGCGGCTGGTGGTCGCGTAAGTATGTTAACAATATGCTCTTCCTCAAGAACATGCAGCTGCAATGTGTGGAGGAGCTGATCTATGCGTATGCCTTGGAGTTGCACACGATGATGCGAACTGGGCATCTACCAGGATATGTTAGTCTGTGTGTGGAGCCGTAAGTAGAAGTTGATCGATATTTATCAAGCGATCGATATTAATGCATAGTTACGAATGTTTGTCGAATTGTTTTGCTTCTTTTAGGCACACTTCAAAAGTAAATGACCTCCTAACGATATTGACCTATCGATTCTATAATCGATATGTGTGCAATAAATATATGGTAAGGAAATCAGATATGGAGAAACACCGTCGCGATTTCATGGATGCCGCTTTTAGTACTGGTCTGCCATATATGGGCTTCAATCACAATAGTGCATGCAAGCGATGGGCACATCACTATGATATTATGCCCAAAGAGTATGAAAATCGTGAATACGACATTCTACAGATCTTTTTGACACAGAGTCGAATGACCGATTTACAGAAACGATTTCTGGAAAAAGAAAGGGGCAAGTTGAATTCCCCAAACACCATTTAATTACTTTTCATTACCAGTATTTCTCATCTAGCATTAAGGAAAAGTTTTCGATATTGTGAAAAAGAAGCGCTTTTCTGCCGAGATGTCGCAAACAGCATGAGATTCTGGCGCGCCTGTGATGTGTGTAAGGATAAGGTCACGGACAGCCTAATGGGCGACGAATTTAAGTATTATCTATCCGATGTCAAATTTTTTTTGGAGCAAATGCAATTTGTGGCCAACTGCAATTGCTCATTGGATAAGAAACAGCCAGAGGTTCTAAAATGTAACCCGAAATCATATACAAAACCAGTTGTACCTACAAGCCCAAAGCAAGTACTTTAAAAGAACCTATCAAATCGCAGATATTTAATTATTTAATATTTTATTATTACTTCATTTAGGAAGGAGGAAAAGCATGTACACTTAATGACGCAATAAGGCAAAAACATCATAAACTATAGGCATGTATATCGTAAAGTTTAGCGAAACTAATGGATGTAATAAGGTGTAGAGAATATATAGAGTTTAATGATTTATGTTTACGCATTGACAAATAAATTGTGCCAACATATGAATGCTAAATTCACGAATTTTATGGTTATTCTTAATTTGTTTATTTCAATTGGGTTGCGTAGTTTGCAATCTGATAAATTTATCAAGAGATCTACTAATAGAGCTCAAAGAGCTAACATTTGTTGTTATTTATTCACGAACAGCATCACTAAATAAAAGATATACAATCACTTAACAAAAAAATTAAAATTGTCTTACAACTTAGAGCAGTTTTTACTTGACATACGGAATGAATAAATTTATAAAATGTTATAGCAAGAAATTTGAAAAAAAAAAAAAAAATAAATTAAATAAATAAAAGAAATAAAATTGTAAATATTATGATTGCAAAAAATAGTAAGACATAGTTTTAAGAGGTGAAAAACCAATTATTCATATCAATATAAATTACTGAGTACGACAATCAATTTATATCAATTTTAAAGCGACGTTTTATTATCATACGAGATAAAAAAAAAAAAAACAAGTAAGAAGACTCTAGTCGAGACTGCTCGACCAGCAGATACTCTGAACCGTCTAATCTGATATTCTAATCACTCTGCACTTCTTTTCGGCGCGGCAGTGTGGGCAACATAATAAGAATTTATTTGTTGAATAATTTAATTTCTAGACATACAATCTTAATGAAACTTTCAGAGCGTAATCATATGGGGAAAATGTATGTACATTCTAAAGCATTACAACAAAAATTGAAATTATATAAAATGCATATAAGTCTACATCTAAAATTTGGAAGCTCTACCTCTAAAGGTGTAGGAGATATAATTAAATAACTAGCTTTCGATAAGGTTTTTAATCGATAATAAAATATCGGAAATAGTTATCGATATATAGATATATAGAAAAACTTAATATGTGCGTGATATACACGGACCTAGGAAAAAAATTCAAGTCTCTAGCTCTTATATCTTCTGAGATCGACGCGTTCATACATACGGACGGACGGACGGACAGGGCCAAATCGACTTAGCTCGTCGCCCTGATCAGGAATATATATACTTTGTGGAGTCTGCCACGCCTCCTTCTGCCTGTTACATACTTTTAACAAAACCATTATACCCTGATTTCCCATTTTCAATGGGTTCAGGGTATAATCACTCGCATTTCTTATTACACCACAATTACCAACAATTAAATAATAATAAAAATTGCTCTATTGAGAACTAAGACAGCCCCATACTCAAACTTTACATTAACTCTCATATACACTCTCATATGGTCTACTACACATTTCACCTATCATATCAGTTTACCCCAGACTCCTCAGAAATATTTACACAATTTCAACATAAGCACATTCTACTCACAATTCTCACACGATAATAAACAATAAACTGCACTCAATACTCAATAGAATAAAATACACATATAAACATGTTTCCAATGGCAGATGTAGGTTTACTTTCGTATCACTCGGTTAACGGTCGCAAATTAGATAGACAGAAGGATGAATGCAGTCATAAAACCGATTCTTCAGGTTCCCTTTTTTCTATGCAGGAACATATGTTACGGTAAATAAATAAATCAAATCAAAGCATATACAATTCTCAATTCATTCTTCACTAAATATTTAGCACTCAACTGCTATTACTAGACTACAAACAGTTCAAGGCCGCACGCACCATACAAAGACATGTTCGTGGCTTCATTCTTCGTCAGAGAATGCAGAGAGAGCTGAAAGCAGCCATAGTTATTCAGAGGGCTTGGCGTCGATGTGTGGCCAAGCGACATCTGATAATCTTCGCACAGGAGCGCACTCAAGATGCAATACAGATCAAGTACTACAATGCTTCCCTGAAGATTCAAGCCTTCTTCCGCGGCTGGTGGTCGCGCAAGCATATCAATAACATGCTCTTCCTCAAGAACATGCAGCTGCAGTACGTGGAGGAGCTGCTGAATACGTTTGCCCTGAAGTTGCACACGATGATGCGAACTGGGCATCTACCTGGATATGTTAGTCTGTGTGTGGAGCCGTAAGTAGAAGTTGATCGATATAGATATATATAGATGTTATTGATATAGTTATTCATTGTTTTCCTTCTTCTTTTAGGAGCAGCTCAAAAGTAAAGGACCTCTTAATGACATTGACCTATCGATTCTACAATCGATATGTGTGCAATAAATATATGACCACCAAGAAGACTAAAGATAAATATTGCCGGGAATTCATGGATGCCGCTTATTGGACTTGGGTACCATATATGGGCTTCAATCACAACGGCGTATGCCATAAATGGGTCAATAACTACGATATGGTGCCCAAGGTCTATGCGCTGCGGGAGTACGACGTGGCCCAGGTCTTTATGTCGCAGGCTCTATTAAGCAATTTGCATAAGAAACAGTTGTTGGCCAAAGAGAAAGGCAAGTAGAATTAGTAATTGTAAACGATTTACAATTTAATACTTTATTTCTTTTATTTCTTTTCATTTATTATCCAGAAGCGAGGAAATCTGTTCGCTATACCGCAACCGATTATCGATTCTGCAGAGATATTGCCAATAGCATGAAATATTGGCGCATCTGCAAAGTGTGTAAGGATAAAGTCACGGACAGCCTAATGGGAGATCAGTTCCAGGAATATCTAAACGAGGTCAAGCTCCACTTGGAGTCTATGCAATTCGGGGGCAACTGCCCCTGCAGTCGTGATAAAAAGCAAGAAGACCATCTAAAATGTATATCACCTTCAGCCGAACCTGCTCTGCACCGCTACAGTAAATACACAAGTATGGGCATTTCAAATACCACCATTAAATTCTCAAATTTAATTAACGATATAGAACAAGAATGAAGACACTGTTATTTAGTAGAAAAATAAAGATGTGATTGCTCTGAATTATTTTCATGTTTGTTAAATGGTAGTTTGAGGGGAAATAGAGGATATCTCTCTCTCCTTGTAGTTGGTTTAGGATATTTAGTTAATTAGTATTGATTTTTCTGAATTATTCACATTTTTCTTATATGGCGGCTGGAGTGGAATAGAGGACATCTCTCTCTCTCTCTCTCTCTCTCTCTCTCTCTCTCTCTTTCTCTGACTCTCCTTATAGTCGATTATTTAAATTTAGGATTCTGAATTAATGGCAATGGCATTATATGAACAACTTGAATTACATTTGTGATCAGAGGGTAGAATTATATAGTTATATCAGTAGAGAACGCCACTTGAATAATAAGGGATACGCAAGCCTTATATTCGGGATCCATATACGACGGACCCATCTGAAAACCCCACAAGGTTGCCCATATTCTTAATATTAAATGGACATTGTACTAAATATTAATATGGAACATTATGCAAGTCCTCCCGTTGCGGCCTCTGGGCCCAGCTATATCTTAATCTTTTTATCGAGCATGATAGTTTCCGTTTTATCGAAATCGAATTTTTGTTTTATTTCAAACAGCAAAACTTGGTAATCAAAGTAGTCTGAGATTCCGACTTCAAAGCATTTCTATTGTTATGCCTGTAGAGAGTTTATATATTCAGTCAGTACACTTTTAGAACAGAAACAATCAACATCCAAATTCAGTCCCTTAAACATATACAAAAAATTCCAGCAAAAATTACAAAACAAAAGTTCCAAGGCAAAAAAAAAAAAAAAAAAAAAAAAGAACACACGCACAAACAATTACAAAAACTGTTTAATTTGTGACTCGTTATTTTTAAGCGAAAAGTGAAATTTTTTTATATTTTTTTTATACAAAATACAAAGCTCACAATGGACATATCGGCGTGCGCCAGAAAAAATCTACAATATGTACTATACATACATCAACAGAGACAAAAACAAGAATATTGCATGATACACATACACATACATTGCTGGGTATTCTAGGGCTGTAAGTAAAATATAAAATATATAAATCGAAACATTATTAAGCACAATCTAATTAAACAGAAGCACATCACCTACATGCGCCAGACATATATTAATTAATACATAAACAGGAATGATACACCTCTGATACACAATCGGTATGAATATTCTCCAAATGAAGTAAACCTTGCAAGACACTTAAAGCACAGTAAGTAAAAGATATACTATATATATAATAATATAATATTATTTTTTATAGTTTTACATACGAATAAAAACAGATAAAGTCATCGCATATATATACAGAAACAGAAAGAAGTAAACAAACGCAATTTCAATGGCTGTAAGCTACATATATGCAAAATATATGCATATATATGTCTATATATTAATAGTTATCTCCATTTGCAGCTATAGAAGCAATGGCACACACACATATCATGGAGCAGAATTCTTCGGTGGGAATGCTAACACCCAAGAAAAGACAACAGGCATTGGATAGATAACTGAAGCTTAAATAAATATATATAGAAAAAAAAAAGAAAAAAAATATAATATAATAAATCTAAATTTTACGTGTACACTTAATATATATTTGTTTATTATTTAATGGGAAAAATATTAAAAAATAAAAGGTATTTATTTGGTTAATAAAATTCATTTTAGTATGAACATAAAAAACAAATAATAAAAATTTCATCGTATAAAAATATTAAAGGCTTAAAATTTTTTTTAATAATTTCTAAACACATTTTTAAGCTGGATACTGTGTAACCAATATTAGCTTGAGGGGCTCATAAGTATTTTGTTTTTTGTTGTTTTTTTATTACATTTTGCGGTAGCTTTACATGACATTCTCTCATCTCTCTTAGTGTTTGCTCACATACTCAACAAACACATATACACACTCACACACACGCATAAATTAGTTCAATCAATATTGGCAGCAAATCAATTTTAATGATATTTGTTGCTTGCAGCCAAAGTCAAGTAGAAAAGAGCTATGAAATTGGCAGCTCGGGTAAATATTTGGCGACTGACGCTAATGAACTTGAGCATACAAGCCCACATAGAGAGAAAGAGAGAGAGAGAGACAGAAAGAGAGAGAGAGGGAGGGAGAGCGAAAGAGTGGGTCTTCAAAGTACTTATGTTCCCGGCAGCAGCAGCTGCTGCTCAAAAGAAAGCTCGAATCGCTGCTTTGATTAAAGAGTTTTGTACAAAAATTTGCTCACTTACAGACTTTGAGCTCGTCTCGTAGTTTTCTTCCTCTTCCCTTCATTTCTTGCCTTTCATTTCACACAGCGAAATGGACGAGCAAAACGTGTTTACACAAAGAATTTTTCTCTATTGATTGTGTGATTGCAATGTGTAGTGTGTGTGTGTGTGTGTGTGTGTGTGTATTTACACATATGCAAGGACATGCTGGAGAAGCACGTTTGGTTTGCCATTGTGGGCACCCAAAGTCAATATCACTTCCTTGATTTGATACTCTACGACTACTCTACTCGGAAAGGGTATTAAAACTGTATCATTGAATTTGTTTAAAGACAAACATTCCATCAAGACAATTTCCTATTTTTATTACAATACAGAATATCCTCTTTCCACCCATTCTTATTATTTGACCTTTGTTAGAGTATTTTGATTTCATCTAACGTGAGGCTAACTTTTATTTTCCTTTATTTATTTCACATCGTTATTTGCAGTGATTCAGTTGAGTTTGTGCGCTGAGTGGGCTACTAGTCGAAAATCTGGGAAAGAGTGTCAAAAAGGGAGAGATGATGATGACAGCGAAGTTATCTCTGCGAGTGCTCTTTGCGAGTGCTCTTTTATAGCTCTTTGTATATGAAGTATCAAGTGTGGCTATAGAAAATAATCTAACAGGCTTTGCTATCTAAACACACGATATTTAGCTGCATTATAATGGATTTATTTGGTTTGCTTTTGCACACAGCTCAAATAATAACTAATATATGAGAATTACAAGTGCAAAATTAAGAAAATTGTTTAATATATAAGATTTTAAAACAGTTTTATATAAAACCTTAAAACATAAAGCAATGTAATATTCTTTAACTATAAATTAAAAATGTATAATTTATAATTTGAAAACAATTTTATATAAAAGAGTATGGAGAATGGAAAATATATTTTATTTAAATATATATTCAATTTAGAATGTATTTAAAAAAATTGTTGTTGAAAAAAGTGAATGTGTAATGCGATATTCATATATACATATATATGTATAACTTTTCTTATATAAGAGCTTTTTAAAATTTAATTATAGTTAAATTTATACATACAAAGTTATTTTTGCATTATAAAACACAAAATGGAGAATTCATATATTTAAAAAAAAAAAAAAAAAGAAAAGATATACTTATAATAGAGACAATATGAATTCATTTAATTAGGCAAATCTTTCATTTGCTAAGCTAAGCCCATGCCTCAAGGCTTCCGATATAACGCTGGAAAATTGCGAGCTCAACGAGGATCTACTAATATATAATTGTATTTATTTATTATAATTTTACCTATGATTAAATGATTTAAATGATAATATACATTTCATACAAATCATGTATACCAAAATTATAGTTTTTATTGCCGAACAGAATATATAATATTTATATTAGCTTTAATATATCTGTTGTTGAATGTTTTTCTATATTTAGACGATTTTGATATCTATGGGGCATTAAAATGTCAGTCATGTTTAGCATGTATGTGTGAGTATGTGTGTTTGTGGGTGTGTGTGTGTGGTATAGTAGCATTAAATAGAAACAGAATTAACCCAAATATGCAAATAAATTTGCCAGCAAAGCAAACAACAGCAACAACAACAACAACAAGAATAGAGCTACACATTAACTTCCGCAGCTCATTAAGTCGCTGTCAGTTGAAGATAGTGTGAGGCTGAAAGAGCGAAAGAGAGAGAGGGAGATAGAGATGAGGCTAACTAAGAGAGACAGGGAAAGTAGGAGAGGGCAAATACTTGTATATAAAAAATTTATGCGACGCCAACTGGACGACAGCACACACACATACACACAAACACAGGCACGCACACACAAACACACTCATACAACTGCAAATCAGGGGCTCGGCAGACAGGCGAAAAGTTCGCTGGCTCTCACAGCAAATAAAACATTTGGCCCCATGTAAATTATGAGGGCCACACAGCGAAAACCCCAAAACCTCGCGCTTGGAATACGTAAATTAGCAGCAACGAAAAATATACAAAAATAAGGAAAGAGAAAAAAAAACCCAAAAAAAAAAAAAACAAAAATAATAATAAAAATATCAGCGCGCCAGAGGTCAACTGTGGGTGAGCAGCATCAGCAGGAACGCCAGGGCGCGTCCCTGTTCCTGCCCTCTCCTGCCCTGTCCTGGTCTGTCCTGCCACGCCTACTGCTCGCGCTCAAAATAAAGGCTAAGCGAAAATTTCGACACATTAAATGAAAATGACGGAATTTTTACTTGCACTGAATTGTTGGCTTACAAAATGTCAATGTGGCTCAATATGAACGACTAGCAAATGCCCTGTACTGAGCTTTATATTAATTTGCCTCTTAATTGAATAATTTATGATATTTATTTATATACTATAATTGCAATTATATTTTAATTTATAGAGTTATTTATTGTTTCCTTATTTTATAGAATAATGAATGTTTTAGTTTTATCATATTTACATTTAAAAAATTAATTTAAATTAATTAAACAGACTCTATCTGATTTGTAACATTCATTCAAATTTCAATTCGAAATTCTATGCCAATTAATAGCAATTAATTTTTTGTTTTCCTTCAATTCCAATATACTCCATTTCCCTATTTCAACAGAGCAGCAGAAGAACTGAAAGGAAGAAAACAAAAAAATAAAAGAAACCCGTACTCATCCTTGGCCTCCAGTTTAATTAGGCCGTCTGCCTCTGTTTTGGCCTATATTTAGGAAAAAAATGCCTTTAAAAATGTTCGTTTAATGCCAATGCCCTCGCTCCCCCAGGTTAAAGGTCGGCTTCTTTTTTTTCGAATTTACGTTTTGGTTTGGGTGTGGCCAAACTAATTAGTGGCCATTTTGTGGGCGTTGCTGTTTAATGAAATTTTAATAGGACTTTAATTGAAATTCAGCACGAGACTCAAGTTCTGCGTTTCAGCAGTGAGCAATTAACAAAAATTACACATGATTTATGCAGCTTATAGTGATATAGTTGATAACGATAGTTAGATAGATAGATATATCTATGACTATACAGATAGATAGATAGGCAGTTATATAGATAGAATGATTGAATGATAGATAGATATAGATAGAAAGATAGATAGAGAGATAGATTGATGATAGATAGATAGATAGATAGATAGATAGATAGATAGATAGATAGATAGATAGATAGATAGATAGATAGATATATAGATAGATAGATAGATAGATAGATAGATAGATAGATATATATATAGATAGTGGATTCGATTGGATTGGATTGAATAGCAGATAGGGCTAACTCAGTAGTAGACAATATTTTAAACAAGTTTTGCTAATAAAACAAAGTTAAAGATTTCGTGAAACTTAAGTACAACTTCAAAGGATTTAACAATCAGTTTTAAAATTGCTTTGGTTAAGTTACTACATTTCATATTTTTCACATTTTCCACTGACATTGAATAAATATTCGTTTGTCTTCAATTCACTGCGAAATAAAATATTTTTGTCGTTGCTTTAGGCCAACTCCAGCAAATGGGAATTTAATTAATATTTTAAATGAACTCTTTATTATCAAATATTATTTGTTTATGCGTTTGAGAGGTAAAAACGAAAATGCTTCAGGCGAAAAGTTCTTAAAAGATATTTTTAGAAATTTAATTTAATAAATATACAACTTGACAGCGAAACTCAAATTGAAAATAAGCAAATTTATTTGATAAAGCTTTACACATTCTTTATCACATTCTTTATCAAATGCCATTTAATTTTATATAAGATCTGATGAAATGTAAATATGTACAAATACATCGGTATTTTAAAAGATTCAAAATAAGTTAAAATGGTTAAAATTTTAATCAAATTTTCAAATGAAATAATAAATATGGAATTAAATAATTGATGTATTTATTGATACGAAGGAATTCATTAAGATCCGTAAAGTTTGATAGTTTTTAGTAAGAAAATTTATTAATGCAGCTTAGCTATATGATATTTAACTGTTTTAAAATATAACTCCTAACCATAAATTGCTTAGCTCTGCCTTTCGATTTACCTCTCCATTTTATACATAGATCTTAGTTTAAAGAATAGAATTTATTTAAAAGTTCTTACAAATGTGATATATAATTGGTTGTGTCTATAGAGTTTAGTATATAACTTATTTAATCACTTACTTGACTGCATCCATAGAATTGGGTGCAAGGAGTCGGTTGAGTAATTAAAATCGAATTCTTGTTGCTGTGTTGGCATTCGTTTAATTTACCGTTCCTGTTGCACATTCCTTGTGGCTGCACACAAAGACACTCGCGGCACACACACCCGCTCATACACACAGTTACTCACACACACAGAACCGACAATAATTAAACACACGCGTCGCGTAATGACAAAACAGAGCGCTTAACGAAATGTCGAACGCAGCTGCCGAAATTTATGGAAAAAACTGCAGTTACAGCAGCAGCGGAAGAGGAGGAAAAACAAGAACCAGTAGAAGATGAAGCCGTCGCCTGTGCCTTGGATTCAGTTTCGCTAGTCTCAATTTCGCACAGTAATAATTGTTGTTGTTGCTTTTGCGTATATTTTGTTACTGCTGTTGTTGTTGTTGTTAGCTTCGACGGCTTCGTGTGCGCTGCTATTGCCTGCTGTTGCCCGCTTGGGGCAGAGATCCAGTTCGTAGCGCGTTATCAATGGAACTGCTCAACTGCTGATTTTTCTCGTCATCGTCGCTAGCATCGCCCCAGAAAGTACGTTTATGTTTTTTCCACTCGCGATTCGTCGTCACGATGCTCTCTCGGCCATTCGGCTCGGTGTCGTGTGGTCGTCGTGGCTTTTGGACGGGTGAGTGGAACTTAACGAAAGGAGTGCCGTTGTCGTTGGGGAATTATACTTTTCGCACTGTAAACGAGTGATAAAGAGAGAGAGAGAGAGTGAGTAGAGAGCGCATTGGATAAGGGATATTTTAACAGCGAAAATGTTACTGTTAACTGTGTAAGGTATGTTAACTACCTTTTTAAATATAATGACTGGATTAAAATATATTAAGCAAAAAATAAATTTGTTTATTTTGAAATTTTAATTTCTAAAATTAAATTAAAAGCAAAAAATATTATAGGTATTATTATTTTTTTTTTTCCATAAAATTTGTATCAATTAATATTTTATTTTTATTAAGCTGGGTAAATAGAGTTTCTTCTCCAATTATAATGATGTAATAATAAATATCAATAGAAAATTATTTCTAATAATAACATTCATCAGAAATAATAATAATATTCAATAATATTTGAAGTATGTTCATAATGTAAACATTACAGGCAATTCGCAGTCTACAACTGTCCCAAAATAAAATACTGGTAAATTGTTTGGTCTTTTAGCAGTATCCCTAAAAGGATTCTTTTAAAAGCGTAACTTTTTTTCATGTTAACAGAAATGTCAATGACTTAACAGAATGTAAAAATATATTAACCAGGCTAATAAATTTGGTTTTTTGAAACACAGCAAAAAAAGTCAGCTAATATCATAATATATGTAAAACATATATATTTATGTAATATATAATTATAATATTATTTCTGTGGTTACTTTCAACTCATGTAAATATTTAGCTTCAATTATATATGCAATTGAAGATAATCTAACACAATATCTTTAAAGTTATTTTAAGCTGCCCATTCAAGTTAATTTAAAAACACATTCATGGATTTAACGACTTCATATAATGCACAAAAATCAGCTTTAATATGCTTAATACAATTATGAGAATCGCTGAGAGGGGAGCAATACATACATATATATTTGGCAATTTCCCACCTTCGCAGCTTGCATACAAATTAAAGCATAATTTATAAGTGAATGTGTTTATGAGCATGTGTGTGTGCGTGTGTGCCTTGTGCACGTGAGTTTGGATGAGATATTCCCGTATTTTAACCTGACGACTGTCATAAAAATTGTGTTTTTATTGTCGACGCGACGGCAAAGCCTCCAAATGAAAAATGCATTTTGAATTGCCTGCTTTGACGCCTGTTGAATGAGTAGCTTAGAGGGGCAAGCGTTTGATGGGGAAAGTGGGCGTGGAGGCGGACGCCTGTAGGTGTTTGCTTAAATTAGTTGAACGCACGTGTGTGTGCATTTTTAAGTTGTTTTGCTCACTTAAACGGAGCAGGGGGAAAATCGTCATGCGGTAAATGGAAAACTTCTCCCGTACGCCTCTTTTTCTATAAGTCAATTGAAATTTATTACGCACACACGCACACGCACACATTGACTTCTGCCACGCCCCTTGAGCTACGATATCTACTTAGGTGCCCCACCTGCTTTTGCGTACATGTTGTTTCCCTATAATAATTTACAAAGCATTTTACGCTTCGCTTCGCCTGCCATCTGCATTAGCCGCAAAGTCAGTTAGCCAAAGCACATTGGGGCAGTGCGGCAAGGTGGGTGGGGCGGTGTGATGGGGGGAGGGATGTGGTGAATGTCTGCATTATGTAAATACATAAAAAGTCAACGCGTCCCTGATCTATGGCCCATTCACTCGGGCTGCTCTACTAAGCGACTCCTTAGCCAGCTTGACTAATGGCCCAATATGATGGACAGCAACATTTTTGTATTTCAAGGTTTTTATGCAGAGTCATAGATTAGAGATCTGAGATAAAGATTTGAGAAGGATTTTCTAATATGAATATGAGTTAAACAACATTTTTATATAAGTGTTCCTGTTTAATCCTAATATATTTGATACTTTAACTCTAATATAATAAAAATATTCTAATAGGAATTTAATATTATATTGTATATATTTATATATTTATATATCTATATGTTTATATATAAATTTAATAAACATATATATAATATAGTATGCCCATCTAGGCATATATATTTAATGATTGCTTTCCAGCTTTTCCAATTTAATTTTACACTTAATTCATACAAGAAAGTCCAATAAGACTCGAATCTAATTGGATCAAGTGGATATATTTTCATAAATTTATACATAAATAAACATATGTATTTAGTTGTGACATTTATCTTCAAGCAAAAAAAAAAAAAGCCATTGAGCTAGAACTTATTTATGTGCTCGTCTCTGAGGCGACACAAAAACAATTTCCAACACATAAGAAAAGCAATGCATCATTTTTATGCCGAAAAGTTTACAACAGCCGCAGCCGCAGTCGCAGTCGCACCCACAGCCACAGCCGATTAATGTGCCCAGAGGCCGTAAGAGAATGCGAGCGCGAGCGAGACAGAGGCATATAGAGAGAGGCGCACTCAGTTAGAGTTTGCACGCACACACACACACACAAATACGCACGCACGCACACACCGACAGAGCTTACAACAGAGAGCACCCCAAAGGATATTAACAATAATCTAACCAAATTAACCCAAAGCACTAAAGTGTAAGTGACATTAAGTTAATTTTCGAGCTGAAGGCGAGAGACCAGAGCAGAAGCAGCCTGAGAAATAAGAGCGAGAGAGCACAACAGCGAACAGAGCAAAGGAATAAAAAAAGTTGGGGTTTTATTTCACTTGCTGTTGCTGTTGTTGTCGGTTGGCTGCAACTGTGCAAAATTTCCCACGAGATCAATCAGCCACAGGCACAGCAGCAGCGGCAGCAGCAGCTTGGCTCTGTCCGCCATCTTTGTTGTTGTTGTTGTCGTCGTTGTTGTTATTGCTGTTGCCGTTATTACTACTTTTTGCAACTTTTTTCTTTTCTTTTGTATAGCTTGGCCGAACGTCTGCTTTTGTTTCTTCTTCTCCTTTCTTTTGTTGTTGTTGTTTGTGTGTGCTTTGTCTATGCTGCTCATAGAGCGGCGGCTTTTTTTTTTGCTGCTGCTCAGCTCTGCGCTTTGGTGCTTTTCGTTGGCTCTTTTTGTTTTACACCTTTTGGCATTGGCCTTTCGCAGCGAGCGAGCGTAGCTAATGAAGCGTCGTTGATGATGCCATGGCGGCGAGTCCTGGCAGTGGTGGGCAGGGGCAGAGGGCAAATAGGTTTTATTCAGTGGCGTGTGGTTTTAGACGGTGTCAAAAAAAGGGGGTGGCCAGCGTGGGTTAGTATTTACTTGCACCTGCACAGCTGTGGGGTTGCGCAAAGTGAGTTGAGAAATTCTGTGGCAAACAAAAATATGAAACAGGAAAGTCATGCAAGCCAAAGTAAGTAAACCACGCAAAAAAAAAAAAAAAAAAATTAAAAAGGCCCGATAGCTTAAAAGCTTTTTAAAATGCAAAGCTTATTGGATACAGTTTTTACTTAGCATATTTTGATATTATATTGAAAAATTCCAACCGGCCGATAAACATAGTCCCCTTGAAATAAATTCTAAATGCCGCCCATGTTTGTTTTAAGAAAAGCTTCTCCTCTCTGTACTTACAACTGTCTCGCTCTAACACTCTTATGCTTAGACAGTAAATGTGGATCAAGTTCAACTGAACGCCTTTTACTTATACATACTTTTACTTATACTATGTGTACGTATGCGTGTAAAAAATCGTTTAAAACAACATTAAAGGGTACAATATGTTACCTTTTACTTTATGCAACTCCATAGGATTAGTTCGTTAACAAAATTATATAAATAACAAACAAAATTGAAAGTTTGAGTGAAACGCAAAACAGGTTCAAAAATTAACACACACACGCGCTAGCTACTGCACCACTTGCAGAAGGGAAAAACAAATTTATATGTCTCACTCGCTCGCACTATTATTTCCGCGATGCTGAGCGAAAAATACATTCCAACAGCGACTTAGGATGAAAGCCATAAAGCGAAAGAATTATAGTTGGAAGTGCACACTGTGTTGCAGCTGATTTGCAAGCAAATATAAATATTGATTAATCTATGCAATAAGTGTAAAGGCAGCACTACACAACACACAGTTCTATGCAATATAAATTAACAGACACAAATTAATTGAATTAAATATGCACAGAATCTAAATCGTCGCTCAATACTTGAAGGCTGCAGTGAAGAAATACATAGCTCTCCCGCTAACGCACATTGACACTGCTCTCATTATGCGAGCTGAGCTAAGAATAACGGGATCAAAAGCAATCATATGAAGTCATGTACTCACTTGGAAAGTAAATTATGATCCACAAGTCTCTCACAGTGGAAATTATATTCCACACTCATTCCATGCTCTCCATAGTGAGTGCTTTCGGTCTCTTTGGTTCTGCAGCAGATCGTTGCATACTTATTCTACGCTTGCATGTAACGTATGGAGAGAGAGAGAGAGAGAGAGAGAGAGAGAGAGGGAGAGTGGGAGAGAGAGAGAGAGAGAGAGAGAGAGAGAGAGAGAGAGAGAGAGAGAGAGAGAGAGAGAGAGAGAGAGAGAGAGAGAGACAGATGTAAGTTTAATATTTATGAGTGACATTGTAATATGTATTATAAAAAGTGAAATGAATAAAGAGTTAAGTCAAATAAAAGAAATTGATATATTAAAATATTTAATTATATTACATGTTGTTTAGTATAAATATAATATATTATTTGCAAATAATTACATCCCTTTTTCTTATATTTAGCAGACGCCTCTGCACACATTAACCGAAACTAAACAGCAGTTTCACTAAAAATAATTATATATAAAAACTGTCATCAGAAAACTTCTGGTGTTCATCTCATTAGAGGCGAAACACTTCAAGGCCAACAACAACAACATTGAGAATTAGAGATAGAGAAAAAACTTAACAACAACTTG